CGCGAGAGCCTTCAGAGCAGCTCGCTCTCTCCAGCTCTAGCCGAACACGGTTCCAATAAACATATTGCTGAAATGTTTGCTTCCGGGTGTCATTTTAGACTGCAAGTAGCTAAAACAGACTCTGCTCCTATATATAGATGCTGCATTTGGTTGTGTTCTGGGAGGCTTTCATTACTACGCTCCCTGGCCGCCTCCCAGCTGAGCGTTCCCCTCAAGGGATCAGATCTGGGAATCAGAAAGTCAGAGAGGAGCGTGACCACATTCAGGGGTCTCTCTCCTCCTCTCCCCCACCCTCTCTTCCCCCTCCCCCCATGAGCGCTCTATACTGCAGGTGGACGCGAACTGGACTGGCTCCTCCTTTTGTTCAAAGACTCTTAATAGTAATGGTGACAGTGCTAATGGAAACTGACTAGCTACACTATGGCAGCAAATACCAGCAAAACAGCTCTGATGTCCTGGCACAAAGAAAGTACAGTATAAATTGGGTTGAAGTGAAGTGCAGATTATTGTAAACAGCTCAGTCTTCAGAGACGAGGACCCAGGACCCTCCATGGGTAGAAGGAAGCAAAGAAAGGGACTAATAAGTGTGTTTGTGGGGGGTGGGGGTGGGTGTCTAAATTTTACTTGCGAATTCTCTAGGGGAAGATATGGCTGGGGACAAAAAGGTGAATGAGGGAAGGTGGTATTGGAGGAGGAGACGTAGGCAGGAAAGGAAGAGGGAAGAGGGGTTTGCTTAAAGAGACAATGCAGAACCCAGACAATCGGATTTTTAAGAAACGTGTCCAGTCAGCATCAGTGAGCCCCTCGAGTGTGTGTCCTTAGTCACAAAACCTCCCCTCTGCCCCGTCTGGCCGTGTCACGCCTCAACTGCCCCTGCGACTCCTTTACGATGGAGCATCATGGGTCTGAGCTGCCTCCCTGTCTCCATATTTCATGTGCCTCCCCACCTCCTCCTCTCTCCCTTCCCTTCTGCCTCGTTCTTCTTCCTCTCTCCCCTGCTTTTCTTCTTCAGTCCTTTCTCCTCCCAGACTTTCCTCTTCTCCCTTTGTCCCCCTCCCCACCCCTCCCCACCCCTCCCCCTCCATTTCCCTCTTTTCCTCCTCAGTCCCTCCTGTCCCCCTCCCTCCTTCCCCCTTTCTCCTTTTCTTTCCTCCCTCCCTTCCTCCTCTTGTCCCCTCGCCCCCTTTCTGTCCCCCTCCCCTCTTTCCTCTCTCCATTTTCCCATCTCCCCAACCCCTCTCCCTCTCCCCCTCTCTTTTTCCTCCTTCCCCTGCCCTCCCTCTCCCTCTCGGTCCTTGTTTATCTCTAAGCTCCAATTTCTTGCCTTATAGATTTACCTGCAGAAAAAGACACCGCTCCTCTTGCAAAAACTGTTTAAGAAATCCATATCCTCTCCCTTCATTCCTTGGGCATTTCAGAAATGATATTCCTCCCCCAACTACCCCCGTCAAAATAAAATAAATTCAGCCAGCTCCTGCTGTGTGTCCTTAAATCCATTCCCTCTAGTCGCGCTGGCCTGGAAGCCTGTACCCTAGAAGGGGCCTCCTGCCTTTGCTGGCAGCCTTGCTCCAGCCTGATCGCCACAGATAGTGCTTGGGAGCGAAGAAAAGGGGGGAAAACCCTCTTGTTGGAGATTTCAAAACAGATCCTACCAGCTTTCAAATCTGTGCACTTGCGGAGTGGCAGGGCTTAGGGGAGAGGAGCAGGGGACTGGGGTGCGGGCGTTTGTCATAAACAAACAAGCCACCGAATTCATAGATGGATGTGAGTGTGCGTTTCCTGGGGCGGGCTTGGTGCCTTTCTCCCTGGCACCCCGAGTGGGTGCTGTGGCAGCCTGGCTCCTCTCACACTGTCGCTGGGGTCTGGGGGGTGTGTGTGTGATGGGACTGGGGCGGGGGGGGGGTGGCTGTGTTTTTGATCTGATCCACTTGACAGATTATCTGAGTCCAGCCCACCTTTCCGCACATGTCAAACAGATGGGATCATTGTTAGAAGCCTTCAGAGAGCCGTGGCCGAGCGGTGGGTAAGGCAGGGAGGGGGGGAGAGGCGGGGGACCTGAGAGAGAGGGGGGCACCTTCTAGTGGCTTTGTGTTTTCACACGTTGGAACTGACAGGAGCCCTGCTTCTCCGTGGGGGGTGTCTTGAGGGTAGGGGGCTGATGAGGGGTGGGATGCAGAGGAGAGCGAGAGGTGGGGTGTTGGTGGGCAGGGTTATGATGTCACAGCAAAAGTTACAACAGGAGGAAAACACAGAAATGGTTCAACATTTTTTTTTTAACTTTGGACTGCCAAGAGCTGAAGGAGAGTGGTGAGCAAAGGAATGAAGGGGGGAGAGAGAGAGAAACTAAACTGGAAGCTTGAGTTTTGTGTAGCTTCTTGAAAGCTTATGAATGGATTATTAGCAGCTGAGAGCCAGGAGAGACCTATAGGGGACGCAAGATCATTCCCAGAGTAACAGGGGAGCAAAGCATGCGGGATTCTTCTTCCTTGCTGTGTTATCCCTCCTTCCTGAAATGAATGGTAGGAAACCTTTTTCTGAGGGTCGTGGGGGCGGCATGAGGGAGGGGAAGCTTACTTCTTCTTTTCTTACCTGAGTATCTTCCCTTCACTTTCAGCTAAGCTTCCTCTCCGTCCTTTCTTTCCTGGTTTCTTCTCCCTCTCTTACTCTCTGTCTCTCCCCTCTCTCTGCTTTTCTGTCTTCCTCTATATCTCCCCCTACCCCTTCCAAAGCCCCAGTCTTTACTGAGCTGCTTCAGGAAAAATAGAAAGAAGTAAAGAACTGAGTCAGGAGAGCGGAGGGAGATAAGGACCTGAGAAGAGGAGTATGGATAGTCCAGAATCAACAGATTCATTTAGTGGTGTCCATGTGCCCATATTGATGTCTTCTTGGGGGACTTGCTTGGAGGCTCCGGTGGACGCAGCCCAGGGAAACAGGACGTGCCCCTGATGGGGTGTGTGGGGTACAGCATCCTTAAAGCAAAGAAGTCAGCGGTTAGCTGGGGTAGAGGAGTTGGGAAGACCTTGAGGAGACCCAAGGCAGAAGAGGCAGCGTGATCTCACTCCGAACTTTGTGGGCTGTAGGTTTCCTATGTGGGCGACACAAGCAGTGATTTGGGAAGTGCAAGCGATTTTTCTTATTATTGAATGAAGGACCCAATATACTTCTCTACCTATTCGGTGCCCGTCTGAGGTCAACCACCCTTACCTGTGTTGAGAATTCAGAACCGCGCTCTGTGTGTGTAGGCACGTGCGACTCCGCGAGGTAGCCTGCACCTAGGCGACGTTACTGCAGAGGTGAAAATCACGTTACTCACTTCCCTATCCTGTCTATTCATTTTCAGTCCATTGAAAAATACTTGCTTGGGTCTAGCTTGGGTCATTTTTTGCAAATTACTTATTTTGAGCATCTCATTTGTTTATTTGTTCACTCAGCACATTGTGACTTTTAGTAACCAGAGTGAGAAACTTCAGAGACAATAACAATGCTCCTTACAGCAGGATAATTGATTTCTTTTTCCCCAATGTCCTATATAAGGTGAATTTGGGGTATTTCCTTTTAAATCCCAAGTGATTAAAATAAGGGAAAAAAAAATACAGGAGGTTTGTGCAAAATGAAAGAGATACAAGTGGTCCCTAAAAGGGCGGTGTGGCTTTATTAGGCAGGGCTGCTCCCAGCACACGTGTGTGTGTGTGTGTGTGTGTGTGTGTGTGAGAGAGAGAGAGAGAGAGAGAGAGAGGAGAGACACACAGAGAAGAGGGCTCCAACGCCCTATTGATTGTTTGCTATTGATTGTGTAGGCTGTGGCTGCCGAGAGAGAAAGCCTGAGATGTTTCTTGGGGAAACCGAGAGTAGCATCTGTCCCCTGTGCCTCAGTGAGGTTGGGGAGGTTTTCAGGAGGAAGGAGGGGACAGAGAGTGGGTGGAGTGATACACTGAACTTATTAGCTTTGACATCATCATGGTCTTTAAATGAAACAACCAAGGAGATAATTCTAGGCAGAGGGGAAGGGAGACGGGGAACAGGAGGGACCAGAGCACACAGGTCCCCTGAAGTATGTGCTCTTCTTCTCACTCTCTTGTCCATCTTCCCAGGGACCCACAAGACTCCCAGAAGATCAAGTCCAGGGCTCGCAGATTCATAAGATTATTAGGACATCGGACCAACACCCCAAAGGAGAACTTTACAGAGACCTGCAACATACTAACCACTTGGAAGGGGATTTAAAAACAAAAACAAAACCACCAACACTCCACCAGCCCAAGCCTGGAGCTGAGAGAGAGACTCAACCTGCAAGGCAGACTGGAGGCTGACGGACTCCGGCCGAGGACACACCTGGAGAGGGAAAGCTAAGTGCCGGCTTGGAGCTCTGTGCGCCCAGGTGCTTTTTGCTCTTTTAAATTAGCATCAGTTCTGTGACTCTGCATAAAAGTCCTTCCAGTCATTTGTTTGAAGGTGAATGCATTTCAGGTTAAGGACTACGAAGAGAGGGTAACTCCTGGGAAGGAACAAAATGAAAATCAGGGGAGAAGGGTCTTTTTAATGACTTCAGGTGGCAAGGGCTACGTGTTTGGGAGTGAGTGTGTATTTGAGAGGCTTTGGCTTATGTCCACGTGTCCCTCCTCTAGAATCAGCAAGGGGAGGGGCTATTGAAAAGGGAAAAAAAAAAAAAAGAAACCTGAGCTCTCTGGAGGAAATTCAAAGGAACCCAGAGAAATGAACTTCACTCTGTGAGGACTGAGCTGGAGCAGGGCAGGAGGTGAAGGGAGAGGTGAGGGCGCGCACCCCGGTGGAGGCGCGGAGGCCACCCGGCACAGCCCGGGAGCAGGTAGCCAGCAGAGGCACTCTTTCGGGGCTGCCTGAAAAAGTTTGCTCTGTGAACACAACAGTTTCCCCGGTGACTGCAAGTCCACTGCTGGCCGTCTCATTCTCTCCATCCCCCTCCTCCCGGTGTGGTACCCAGAAGTTGGCTTTCTGGCTCCGTGTAAAGAGCTGGGGGAAGCATGATGCACTTAAAGGTCCTGGTGATCCTGGCCGGGTGGGCACTCGGCACGGCCAGCCCTGAGCCGGGCTGGACACTCAAGCGGTCCCTGGCTCAGAGGGGACACCCGAGTGAGGTGCCGTCGGCAGGAGAGCGCTGCTGGCTGGGGACCAGGATCCGGAGACCCAGAGCTTCTCCCCAGCATCACCTCTTTGGGGTCTACCCCAGCAGGCCTGGCAGCAGCCTGAGGCCCTACCCTGTGGGGGATCTGGGCGTGCGCCATGCAGGACGCAGTGCGCCCGCCACCAAGGAAATGGCCACGAGCAGCGTGGGCCAAGCCCCGACGGCAGGTGCTGTGGTGAGGGCTGAGGCCCAGCAGCCGGCTGCCCTGTGGGCAGGGGCTGATCCTGTTGGGCAGTCGGAGCTGCTGGCAGATGATGACACTTATCTTGACAATCGAGGATCAGAGGAGTCTCTAGGTGAGGCGGGGCCTGGGGAACGCCCAGCCGTGGCTGCCACCATGACCACCACCTTCATTACCAGCAGCCAGAGGGAACCCAAACCAGAGACCCAAAGGCAGGGTCTGGCCAAGGCCCGGCGACGTCGCCAGGTGGTGAAGGGGCAGGCAGAGGGCGTGCGGGGAAACCTCGATGTCTCTCCCCGGCGTTTCCAACCTTGGCCTAAGCGCCCCCTTATGCACGGGGTGAGAACCAGTCCTTCGGAGGACAATGTCCAGAGTGGCAAAGGGAACCCCTCCCGGGAAGCAGAGACCTCAGACTCCCACAGAGGAGGATTGCCCGTCTTGTACTTCTCGGGGAGGCGGGAGAGGCTGCTGCTGCGTCCGGAAGTGCTGGCTGAGATTCCCCGGGAGGCATTCACAGTGGAAGCCTGGTTGAAGCCGGAGGGAGGTCAGAGCAACCCAGCCATCATCGCAGGTAATACCCCCTTCCTGGGCTTCCCGTGCTCCTTGGGGTACGGCTGGCTTCATTTTTGATGGGGTCAGACCATGGGGACGCGGGGGGAAGGGACAGATGGAGCAGGAAAGCCAGGAAGGGCTGGCCAGGAAGAGGAGGTAAAGAGCCTTTCTGCACCAGCACAGCAGGACTCCCGGCCTTATCTGTAGTGATGCTACAGTAGTGACCGTGCAGGCACAAGAGTGCCTGTCCCTTGGAGTGATCTGTGGTTCTATATGCTGCGATGGCACTTCGGAGACCTCCAGCCCACCCCCTCACTCCTCTTTAAAGGGGGAGGACTCTGGTTCTTTGTCACCGGGGACAAGGTTCACACTCCGTTTCTCGTAGTCCAGTAGGAGAGACCCAGGCGGCTCCAAATCTCCACGAGAATCCAAGGACCTGGGCAGTGAGTCACGCGTGGGCTGGGCCACGCAGCCACTGAACCAGGCGGCCAGGTGCACAGCCACTGGCTCTTGACAGGCGCCCTGCCTTTGAGCAGCCCTGGAACTTAGCAGATAGCTACCACCGGGTCCAGGTCCTGGGGTCCCTGACAATCACGTGTGAGCCCAGGGACACTGGGGTCAGCTGGAAAAGGTGGGCACTTCCAAGCCAGGACCCTGGTTGCGAGCCCTGGCTGTTATGAGAGGAGCCTGAAGAGGCTCATAGTACAATGCTGTTGCTTCCGGCAGAGGCAACCTCTGGGCACATTACCCACATTTATTTTCCACTCTCCTCAGATCTAGGTTTTCCCAGAAAGTCACCCAGAAGGACAAGGGAAATAGTGGGGTTAGAAAGAACTGTCTCCCTTGCCTTATTGAGGGGGGCTCGTTTCAAGCAAGGGATGGGGGTGAGACCCGGCGTGTTATCATTCAGCATCATCCTTTTGTGTCTCCGTGACAGCACCTCACACACCTCACACACGTAGAACCGGTGTAAGCGTATTCATTTGGATCGTCCACAACGCCTGTGGATGTTTCCAGTCCAAGTACACGGAAAGGGAAATCGGAGCAACGCAGAGCCCGCCCGAGGCCAACTGGGAACAGCTCCGTGGCCGGGGAGTGCTTGACAGCCGTCCAGACTAAAAAAGTCTCAGGTCACTGGATGCCTGCAAATAAGTTTTAGACCAGAGAGAGGAGTCTGGAAGGGGGTAGCCTCTTTCAATGGGGTGTTGCTGGAACATCCCTGCTGGACACACTGTCTCCCCCTCTTTGGCTGTGATTTCTCCTTTGGAAGCTGGGATTCCCAGACACTGAGCACTCGAGAGTTTTGTGGTTTTGCTTTATTTTATTTTGGGGTGGGAGAGGGTGTAAGGGGAGGGGAGAGAGAAGGGGCTGGGCTGCAAGATAGGTGGGGGTAGAGACAGAGTCGAAGGAAATCCTTTTTCTGGGGCCAAATGGAAGAAATAATGAGATGATTATCTGACCAGAGTTGGCAGTGCCGCCGTCTTTCCCAGATGACATCTTCGTGCTGCCTGATCCGGCTTCCTGGTGCCCATCTGCCAGGGAAGCTGTGTGCTCGTAGTCTAGACTGGGACCCGCGGCTCCACTTACCCCTCCCCTTGCAGTAGCAGCGTGGGGACCTGGGATCTGCTCCCTGGCTGTGCGGATTGGAGCAGGATCCAGCAGGAATGCCTGAGGGAGGCTCTTGAGACTATTGCTCTGGATCATTAAACCTCGAACCGGGGGAAACGGACTCCCGGCCGTGGGTACCTGAGCCGTCTTCACCCTTGTGTGTCCTCCTGTCTAATGACCCGCACGGAGGAGAGTGTCGTCACGATTTGATCCAACTTACAGCATTCCTTGAGACGTCTCCCCCACGCCAGTTCCTGTAGAGCTCCCCCTTGACCACCTGTCTGTCTGTCGCCACCGACCGCCCCCCAGCCTGCCACAGCACACACGCTCAGATCCTTCTCCCAAGTGCCCATTTGAACTCTTTTAACCTCCCTAAGCATGTAAAATTAGGCAGGAAATCTTTTGCAGACGATCTAGCTTCTGGGGTTTCTTTCTCTCCAAATCAAAGTGGCCCCCGTGGTGGACCGGCATCTCCCCTTAAGTCTGTACCAGGAAGGTCAGGGGGAGGGGATACCTAGGTCTGTCTCCTCTCCAGCTTCCACCCTGTCTTCCCTTCAGCCTTGAGCACATCAGAAAATGTTCAGGAAGAATTTAGGGTAAAGTCTGGGAGAAATGGGGGAAGGGAACAGGCCTCGTTCCTCAGGGTTCCAGCAGCCACACTCCCGGGGCCGCAGGCACCCTTGCCTCCGCACTGTGCTTAGCTCCGTAGGCCGCTAGGGGCCCTGCGGTGGGGGGCCCTGCGGTGGTCGAGGTCAAAGGCGGCCCCTCTATGGAGGAGCGGTCCCTGTTTGCACTTCCTCTTGTCAACAGAACAACCCGATTTTCCTCTCGTCCCCGTGCATGGCTTGTGAGTGGGCCGCAGTCTGTTCCTGGGGTGATTGGCCTCCCCGGGGCGGGGTGGCAGCTACTGGGTCCTGTTCCTGGGAGTGAAACACGATTCTGCCGTTGACGTGCTGCCGCTCCAGTGCGGACAGCCCTTGGCTCCCATCCTCTTTTCCAGCAGCTCCCAAACCTCACCTTCTGCAGACCTACCTTAGACCTAGTGCCCCAGTTCTCCATTGGCCCACCTTGGGGCATTTTCTCTTCATCAGAGAGGTCAAGCAACTCAGCCACACTTGCCAAGGTAGAGAGGGAGAGGGACTCCTGAGATGCGGGGCATTGGGGGATACTTTCCACACGGGGCACTAGGTGGCAGTGTTGCTGCATGCACAGGAGAGCTGGCCTGCCTTTGGAAGCCACGTAGTGGGGAATAGTGGGGAAGGCGTCTGGTTTCCTGGAGGGCTGTCCCGGCCCTGGCTCCTGGGCTGTGTTTAATCAACCCCTCCGCCCCCCGCTGCCACCCAGAGGGTGGCTGGTAGGCATCCCTTAGGGTCGCCTTCATCCAAATATTTTTGCAGGGCCTATGCGAATGGGCTATACTGGCATTTTGGTGGTTGTAACAACTTTGCCCTTGTAGCAACTAGTAAAGTATAGAAATGTCAAATTACTAGGTTGTACACCTGAAATTAATACAATATTGTATGTCAACTATACCTTAGTTGAAAAGAGCCTTACATTCCTGAATGAAAATTAGGAAAAAAAAAAATCAATCAGGGTTCCCTCCCTCCGTTCTCCTCAAACCCCACCCCAAACAGGAAGTGGGACTCCAGCGGGGATTGCCAGAGCGTCATTGTCTAGGGCCGGGGACAGTGCAGGCCCTGGCGACTTCAAGAGTTGAGTCCCCTCTGGCCCAGAGGGAGAGCAGTGCTGCTTGGGGTAGTGCTGCCATTAGACCTGGTGTAGGTGCTCCTCCCCTGGAGCTCAGAAGCAGGGCAGGGAGGCCGGGCCGGCTCTGGGTGCGGCTGCAGTGGAGGGATGTGCGCCGCCTAGGAGTGGCCTGAGGTCAGGAGCCCGTTTGGACGTTGGAACTCGGCAGTGGACGTAAGCCAAGTTCCGTCCCATCCCGCTGTGCAAGCTTCAGGCTCCAGCACCCAGCCCTGCCACCGTCCTGTTCTTTCCTTCCTTCCCAACCTCCTTGTCTCTCCTCCAACTCCAGCATACACAGAAGAGAACCTTTTAATAGGTTCCTCCTCACCTGTAATTGATTTCAAGTGTCCCCCCGAGTTGCCCAGCTGAGCAGCCACCTGCAGCCCCAGCTCCCAGGAGGCTGAGCCTGTGAGCCCCTGGCAGGTTTGGCGCCAGAGCCCAGGCTTCTCCGCTCAGTAAATCTTTATGGAGAGCCTCGCCACGTGACGCGCCATGGGGAACACAGAGGTGTCCGAGAAGCTGTCCCTGACTTGAAGATGAGTGTCCTCACTCTGAGCTCCAAGTTTCAGAGCATTGCCCAGCGTAGAACCTGGGAGCCAGATGGGCCTGGCGGCAGAGCGAGTCTCTGACGCCGACCGGGGCTGGGGTCTTTGGCAGTCCATTGAGCTTTCCTGGGTCCTGGTTTCCTCAGATCAAAAAATGCGAGAGCGTCTTGAGAGTTGTTGGGGTGTCTGAATAGATCCTGCATGTCCAGTGCCCAGCATGTGCTGTGAGCCGTGGGGTTGGTTTATGGTGTGGCGCTCGCTACCTGGAGGCCATCGTTACTGAGTGACCTACTTGCCTTTGCTTCTAACCCACTAACCTGTAATTTTCACTTTGGTGGGACATTCACTTTAATCTCTTAGAATGTTAGTTTGCTCATCTGTCAAATATGAATGGTGGTAAATGGGATTTTTTTTACAAAATGGTCTTGAGATGCTTAAGAACACGGTGGAGTCAGAGGCCTGGAAGAACTCTTTTTAACTCATTTGCTCTTTTTAGCCTGGGCAGTATTCCTTTGGATAAGCTGGACAAGGGTCCTAAAGCTTCTGTGAGGTCACAAACTCTTTTGAGAATCTGACGGAAGCTGTGATCACTACCGAGGAAAATGTACAGGAGCACGTAGCTCACGTAACTTCCAAGAGTTCTCTGGATTTCCTGGTGGCCAGAGTCTGCCGACCTTAGGTTTAAAGTCCTTTGTTTAGGGCACATTGATAGCTTTTTGTTGTTGTTGTTGTTGTTGTTTAGAAAGGCACTAGAGTTACGAGGTGGCAACCCCTTTTCCCAGCGAGGGAGCTGTGCATTCAGGGGAAGAGTTCTGGTCACTTGGAGGCTGGAGCTTCGCAGGAGTCAGATTCATAGACACAGACGTATCGACATAGATATAAAGAGAGTTTGAAAGGAAGGCCGTGGGTGCTGTCTCCCCCTTTATCCAGTGCGACTCGATGAGAGCCAAAGAGCCGCGCCCATGTCTTTCCCAGAGCTCCTCTGAAGAGGTGGGTGCCACTGAAGAGGTGGGCACAGCCCCACACCCCAGCCTCTTCTTCCGATGTTACAGCAACGCTCAGAGTCAGAGCGTGTGCCCGGAACCCAGATGTGCATTGCAGTCTGAGCACCCCTGCCCTT